GGATGCACACTCAAGGATCTCTGCTTTCGTTTTTCGAAGGATTTCGTCTCGGAACGCCGGTGGGAAATAGCGCCTGGGGAGTTTATCGGAGACAAGATAAGGCAGTCGATACTCTGAAGGTGTCATGCTTGGAATCACGGAAGGATCTCTCGGATTCAATTCATCAACACGAGTATCTTTGGAGGTCCTGCTTTCCATTGTCTTTGTCCTTTTCCCTTTCAAAAAACGACCTGGCTTCTCGTTGATATAGAAACATAATATAAAGAAGATGCAAGAGAAAAGATGGAATGAATACTTAATAAAACCTGGTGGAATTATAAAAATCAGTGCTTCCTGTGTAAGCAAAATGAAAATCTAAGAACCCATATTTAAAGTCTACATCAGAATTTTCTCATAGATTCATGTAGACAGCATTTGCGGCCAATGCATACTGCGCCGAGCAGTTTATATATCGCGGAGTCTTCTGATTATCTCCATCTTCTTCATCTGTTGCATGAGATCCGTTTAAGATCACTTTATGAGCAGAACAACTTTGTATGGAATGGAAAGTGTGCACCAGCGGTGATGAGTTACACGATAAAGCCCCACCAGAGCGGTTTGCATTGTGTTGTATAAGATTTCTTTTCATTTTTTCCTAAATTTTTGTTTTGAAGATTCAGACAAGGTATCGAAAAGAAATACATTGAAACATTCAAACGGAAAAAAAATACCACACACGTCAGATAAAAACACTCATTCTCTACTTGCATATCCTCATGGCCTTCTCGAGTATTATTACATCCTCCATTATTTTTAAATACGGGTACAGCATCTTGTTTACTTCCAACATAAAAAAAAAAACATACAACTCGCTATGATGAGAATGCATATGTTTCTAGGTTTATTCGCTGCGTTGTATGTTAAGTAAGCTAATTTTCAACCGCTTACTGTTCACCCATAGTGTACCTTGATTAGTTGATAAGCTACCTTCCGCTAGTCTAATTTATGTATATCTATATGCTTTCGACATCCATATTTTAATTGCTGGTGTTAAGGAAAAAATTACCAACTGCCTATCCTGTAAATTAAAGCAATGCTCTTAAAAATGTTACTTTCATTTCTTCTTTTTATTCTCAAAAGGCACCCCCACTGATAAGACCAACAGATGCCTCAATATTGAATAATCTTAATGAGTAAGAGCAAGATAATATGACAGTTTGTCTTTTATTACACAATCACCTAACTCATTATGACACAGGCTACTCTCAACGTTTTAGAATACTACATAGTATATAAATTCCTAAACCACATGAGTGCCTTGAAAAAAAAAAGAATAGTCACGTAAAGAATAAATTATGAATACACTTAATACTTTGGTCTAACGCCCTATCATGGTATACGTATTTATTCCCCTTCTTCCGCATACACCACGTTCCCTACAGAGTACCATATAATTAACCCCATCAATATAGAATATACAGTCAGAGTGAGGGATTTGACATTTTAAACACTAACTCACAGGCTCCACTAAGGAACGAGCCTACAAACTCCATTTTTACAACTATCGAAAAGAAGAAAGATGAAAGACTTCTTCTTCTTCTTTTACATCTTGTTCTATTTCTTACTTCTTCTTGACCCCTTGCCCACCCTCTGCAGCATCATTGCGCGGTGCCATACCACCCGAAGCGCCACCTCTCCTTAGTTTCTTAGGGGGCTGCTTCTCGGGAAGCGCGGCTCCGCCTGCATTGTTATCAATTTCCTGCATCCCCCCCGAAGGTGGCTGTCCAAGCGTCATCGTCTGTACCCTTCCGCCGCCCGCATTATTGGTGTTTTGCATGGGTAGAGCAGTCACGACTGGTTGCTGCGGCTGCGTCCCTTTATTCGACGAACGCTGTTGCTGCATTGTGGTCCCCATACGCGATGACGACGGCCCCATCATGTTCTGGTCGACATACGTCTGTTGCTGCTGTTGTACTTGGACCTGCGTGTTACCGCCCACCATGTACGACCCCGCGTTGTTGGCGTTGCCCATATCATACTGGTGGTGCGGCATGTGGTGCTGGTGATGCATGACCGGGTGTCCGCCGCCGCGGTTGAAGCTGTGAGCCATGGGGCCGTAGCCTTTCCCTGACATACCCATGAACTGGCCCTGGGGTGGCACGCCGCGGCCTTGGGCCTGGGACATTTGTTGTTGCTGCTGTTGCTGTTGTGGTGGTGGCTGTTGTTGCTGCTGCTGTGCTTGTTGCTGTTGTTGCTGCTGATGGTGGTGGTGGTGGTGATGGTGAGTCGGGCCCTGGTTGTGATGTGGGTGCTGGTGGGAGTAGCTTGAGTCATCCCTGTCGTAGTGATCCTCTTCACCGGGCCAGTCCGGGTCGCTGGCGTAGCACTCATCGTTAATGTTAATGGCGTCTGCAATGCAACGCAGATAGTCACGAATGATGGGGCGAGTGGGCACAAAAGGTGCCGCCGCCGGGTTCGGGTTGAAGTCTTTGATCTGGCCCCCTTCAATGGGAGCTGGCGCCCCATCGTCGACCGTTCCTCGCTTGGCTGCCATGACCTTACCCGTGGGTGGCTCTGGCGCAGTCTTTGGAATTGATTGCTGTTGTTGCTGCTGTGTTATTGTGCCACCAGAGCCCTTCTTCCCTCCTCTAGGCACGTTTTCACGGATTACATCAGAGAATAAGACCCCTTCGTCTAAGTCGATAGCTGCAATTTCTTCGCGCTCCGCCTGGTGCTGCACACCACGAGTTGCTGAGTTCTCAATTGCCTTTGCGACACGATCGGCGTACTCCAACTGCTCCTTGGTAAGCTTCGCACGATCGAGTTTGGTTGTGTAAAAATCTTCTTTATAGGTCGATGTAACACCGAAACGTTCATTTGCCTTAAATTGATCCCATCCACCAGGGGACATCTTTTCTGTCTCCAACAACTCAGCCGCGCACTCCTCGGCCCAGTCCAGCGTCTTCAGGTCATGTTCACCACGGTAGCAATGGACGTTGCCCATCCCCGGCGTCTCGGTACGCAACTTTAGGTGCACAACATCCATCATGACAATGTCCTTGTAGAAGAAAAGGCGTGCATCGGTAGAAAACTCAGATGGGTCCAGCGCTTTATGGTGAACCGATTGGAGAAAACGAGGAAAGGAAAGAAAAATGCCAGCCTCGTTTTCTGGCGTTTCGGGGTCTGTTCGAGAGACAAATATTCCTTCAGAAACACACCCATCGATTGTATGAACCTGGACAACCTGGCCTACCATATTAAGGTAGAGGAACTCTAGCCGTTCAACATTTGAGCTGTGATCAACTTCCATTTTTGTCACTTTGTCGTATATTCGAGCTACCACAAGGAGTGTATAGCTTTTGGAAATTACAGTATAAAGTAATATAATAAATAAATAAAAAGGCTTACTAAAAATCCTGCAGGTTGTGGTGTCAAAAAGGTGAGATAAGATAAAATAAGTGTTTATGAACTGGATGCTTGGCAAAAATGTGCCATGTGGTGGCTAAAGGATAGACAAGCATTCCCACTATATTAATAAGCTTCAGTTTTGTCTGACCTTCAACTTGACTAAACCCTTTAGCATTGATGTATAACATATATATAATATTACACATACGACGAGATTGATGGTCTGAAAAATACTAAAACTTTTAGTGTCATTCCATACAAAAAAAAAAACAGAAGCAGTTTACTCGAGTATATCTAAATATATTCGTTCCAATTCATAATTCAGAGAAATCGATCCAGTGATAAACTCGCTTCATCACTGTCATTCTTCACCTTCAGCATTCTTGGATATGGGTAGGTTTTCCCACCAAATAAAGCTCCCTGCAGTTCCTCACGGTCGTAAACTTTACTGCGAATGTTGCTGTAATCACCCACAGCAGGATGCGTCATTTGCGGAACATCGGTGTACAGCTCGGGAATGACACGCTGTTGTTCAGCTGGTGCTAAATTGAAAGGTAACTCGACTACTTCCCAATCCCTGCCTTTCCACTTTTTCCTCAAGGTACTCTGAGCACACCAGATATCGACATTATATTGCAGTGTTCGATGGTCTCGCTTAAAGAGACGACCCCTTCTCTTATGGTTGAATGGGCCAATTTCCCTAAAATACGCCGTTCGCCCACCAAAGCGGCTCGAATCATGTAAAGGAAGTGTATTGTAGGTATGCTGCTGTCGATGTGAAAATGGCGGATGATCAAAAACATCAGTAGATATTCGCCGTTTCGGAAAAGTAAGGGAAGAATACCACGGCCTACAGCCGCCATTCGCAGCAGGAAAAACGGATAATGAGATGCGATAGCGCGCAGTCATCCGGTATTTCAAGTTTCTACTACAGCTCCCCCGCACCTCGTGTGATCTTATACCTTGACCTCCTTTGAGTACAATATTCCTTCCACAATACCGACTTAAGCAATGGAACGACTCGAGAAAAGGAAAGGAATCATGATGAACAGTTTCCAGAAAGATCTTCAGGAATATTGAACAAAATAGCAAATATTGATTTCAATGCATGAAACATTAAAAGCTATAAGTGATGAACACGAGCACTTCCTAGTACTTCAATTTTATTATCTCTAAGACGTTTTAATAGATATAAGGTAATTAAAATTTTTATAATAATCTTACCAAGAGAGTATGGGCTCTAACACAGAAACCAGCGACTTTGTAGCACAGACCCAATGGTTGTTTTTACTGTCACTTTCCTTAGTGATAGGATTCACCAGCGCAAGTACTCGAGTAAAGAAGGGTGCGGCATCCGACTTTAGTTTCTTTTCGGAACAAGCCATGACAGCCTTCAAAGCGCGAAGCACTATCATTGAGGTCATGCGATAGACCCACTCTATCTCTGTTTCGACCTTCCACGAACGTGCAATAAAGGTCATCCTTCGCGAGGACGCCGTGGGTATTGATCCGGTCTGAAAAACAGACTCAGAGGTCTCGGTTTCCTTCTGCCACCGCTCGCATGCCGCCCTCATAGCTGCAATAGTAAACGCGATACACTGACGGGTAGTCTCACGAAGCCCGAGCGCGCTGAGACCGGCCTTTCTCGTGCTCGCCGCCACCCCCGAAGAGGCACCGCGTCCCTCCATATCCACGACGTAGACCAACCCCAGCTGTAAGTTCTGCTCCACCACCGTCGCAGCCTCCAAAGGGGGTGTCGGGCCGATCTTCCCATCCGCCGCGGTGGTAGAGATGCAGGGCTGGTGGTCCCCCGGTTTCTCTGCCAAGACGGCCTCACAACAGAGCCGCTCCGACCAGTGCTGTTGAATCGTCCTGGCGCTTCGCAGCAAGGACCCCCCGCACTGGCCTACCGAGGTCGTGGTCACCAGCCGCAGCGTCTCCCACTCCAGCCGACGCCGCCAGTCTGTTCGGTCGGTCTGGCCCTTTTCCGCCGCTTTGAGGGCCTCCACGATGAGCTCAAAAGCCCGCGCGGAGCCCGCCCGATCCATCGGGACACCTGCCAAGGTGGCCTTGTCAATAAAAATAGCCGCATACCGCAGTAAGACCCGCGCCTTCTCGATCCAACAGTTCCCCTCGGTGTACGTGTCGATTGCTTTTTGAAAGAACCGAGTTTCCTCCTCGTTGCCGTCGTGCAGTAAGCCTATACTCAGAGGCTGCGCGAAGGTGATTTCGACGTTGGTGGTGGGCAGCGCCGCCCGCATCTTGAGGAGCGCCATGTTGGTGTAAACATCCCCAAGAGCCTTGAGGACATCCTCCAGGAACACCATCGGGGCGAAGGTGAAGTATTCGGCAAGGGCTGAATCCTCAGGCGCCTTCTGCGAGGTTTTGAAAAGGGATTTGGCGCGATAAAGTGCCTCGAGCGCTTTCGTATAGCGGTCCGTGTTTAGGTAATGCACCCCGACGTAGTAATACACTTTCGCCATTTTGATCAGAAGCCGTCTGGTTTCCCTTCCGGCTTTGGCGTAGAAGCGCATCGCGGTGAATGAAAGGTTGACCGGATCCACCGTCAGGGCTGAAATCCATTGTAGGGTTGAACAAGAGAATGGAGGGAGGCCGCCCTTTGATCTCTGGTTGCCTTCCTGAGATAGCTGTTGTTGTTGTGCTTTTTCTTCCTCTCTAGTGCTGATACGACGAGCCACCTCAGTCAGCACGTCCACCGTAAACGTGTTGGCAGAGTCCGTCATAATAGTCAAAACAACGTCGCCATATATTTCACAAAGAAAACAATTGAGAGGTTTGACATCGATATCGGCCCTTGGATCCATTAACAGACCATACTCCTGCTGCGACGGCGATTCTCCCTTCGCAAGAGGCTCGGTTCCTGGTTTCTGGTCGGCATTTTCTGGGTCCGAAGTGGCATCAAACATGGCATTAGGGTTGTCATGAACGTGCAATTCGGATTGCCTCATTGAGGTCGCAAAAGCTTCGATCGTATTGCTGAGATGCTCTAGCCGCATGAGGCCTTCCACAACGATCTGAAGCAGATCCTTCAGGACTGTAAAGTCCTCCTTTTCCTTTCCGTGTATCTTCTTCCTCTTTTTCTCCGTTTCTGCCGATACTGTGGTCTTATTCAGGTTTTTTCGTTTCGAAATCTCGTTTCTGCCGTGTAAATGATACCCACGCTCGGTGCTGAAAGCATCAAGCGCTCGAGCAACCGCCACGCCGATGGCGACGGAGCATAAAACCAGCGAGCGCGCGTAATTACGCCGTAGAATCGGCTTGAGCCTGCAATCCTCTAGCGTCTGGCGTAGCCTCATTTCAAAACGAGCACCGGTGACGAGCGCCTCGCGGTAGGCTTCGGGACGGGCGCGGCAGGCGTCGCGGTCCTCGGGGAAGGCCTGGGATTCGGTTTCACTGACCACATCGCCGGACGGCACCTCGTGTACAGGCTGCTTCCCCTCCCCTACCCCAGCCCCTTTAGAATGCTTGGCGTTATGACATTTGACATTTTTAGAGTCCAGAGATGGTATTGAAGAGGTGTGCCGCTGAAGGATGAGTCTGCCAATCAGTTTGGGGAGCATTTGGGCTATTTCAGAGACATGCTCCGCGGCGTGCGCGGAGTCTCCCTGCTGTAGAAATATAACGAAACTGCGTAGCAAAAGTGACAGCGTATCACTGGTTTTGACGATGTTGCCGTGATGGAAAAGGTGCTGCGCCATTCCCAAACACATTCTCGACAAGTTGAGGTTGAGGCGCTCTTGATCTTCGCGATGTTGCCTCGCCGAGGAGTCCATGGCTACAGGAGAGACATCGGTATTGTTATAAGTCGGATCTGTAAACAGCGTGTGCTCGCGTGGAAGCTCGTACAGCTCAAGATAGCTCGAACGGTACCCCCTAAGTACGGCGTAGGTGGCGCCATCCTTCACACACTGCTGCACCAACCAACGCAAGACGTTGCTGGTAAAATTCATCGCCGCGGTAGCAACACGGCCCTCGACTAGCCCCAAAAGCTCTTGAACCTTCTTTACCTCGAAGCACTGAACCACACCGGCGTTGTGAATGTAAATGCCCACCTGCGGTACATTTGCGAGCGTGGCATCAAACCAGCAATTCAGTAAATCTCGTTGCATTTCCTGCGGTGTCATCACATCCGATGTATCCTCAAGCTTTAACATTTGCTCGGTGTTGCTGCGCCGATCGAGTAGGATGGGCGTATCCACTCCGACCAATACCTCCATCTTATCAATCCCCCAACGTAGGATATGGGAGTAGCGGTTATGCGCTTGCGCGTGATCGGCTACACTCAACCCCACCCGTTGAGGGGGAAGAGCAACGGCATTTACGGGCTCTGCTGGCAGCTCCGACGACGGCTCTGAGGTATTCACAACCTCCTCAGTCACTTTAGCATCACGAAGGTCTGTTGTCGGTGCAGACTCGCTTAATCGATAGAGAGCCTTGCTCAGAAGAGCCCGCTTACGCATCTCGCGCACGCTACTTGGAGTTTCGGAGTGAATACCGACTGTTAACGTCGGTCCTAGCCTCTGAACCTGGAGAGCTAGCGGTTTATTGTCTGTAAAGGCTTGCTCAAATACTGACCGCATGGCATCACCGGTGGAAAGTATCAGAACATCCTCCTTCAGATCTTCCCATCCTAGCATGCTCGTTGAGAACATGGAGCTGAGAGCGGCTCTTTCATTCTTCACGAATCCAGGCGCATGTTGATGAATGTTGTAAGTGCTATCCAATGTGAGATAATTGCTGGTGGGCACGTTGAGGTCGGTTCCAGATTCCATGGGCGTCCTCACAGGGATCGGTGGTACACCCTCAGCTCGGCTGACATGGATGAAGTTCGGCGCTCTCCCTACAGTGGAACTTGCCATTGGGTTTTGTGGTAGTGGTAGCATGGTGAGTGGCTTTGCCGGTCGCTTTACGCCCTGTGTGCTTGGAAGCATAAGCGAATCGGACACCGAGGTCATGGTACTGTTTGCCACTTCGGCAAAAAACGAAGGTGACACAATGGCTTTTTCATGGGTGCAAACACCCTCTTCAAGCCCATCCTCCTCATCCCCGTCAAGTTGGTTCGCGGATTCCCTAGACGCGTTTTCACTGTGGAATACGAATTCGAAATTCCAGTCCTCAAAATCATCGTCCTTCACACCGGGGTTGCCTTGTGAAGACGCCGCTAACACCGATATGGGGCGCAAATCGTGAGATGGAGACGCTGCCGTCTCCCATGAAGCTTTTTTTTCCTCAGAAAATAAAAACAAGCGATTATCACGAAGGTTCGCATCTGACCTCTGTCCCTTGCTGTGCTGACGTTGGTGATACCGTGTGACTTCTTTACGACGTTTTTCTCGGCGGGATAGTACAGCACTCACTATGTCCTTTTCCTCCGTGTTAGTGCTCATCAATAGATATTTTTTGTGGTGTTGTAGAAGTACGAAAGGTGCAAGGTGAAAATATAAACTCAATAAATGAAAAGGAATATTATCAATATAAGGTTTTTTACTATATTAAAAAAAAATTCTGTGATCAACAACTGTGACAACTTAGAATGTGAAAGTTGTGTGAATCTGTATTAATCTAAGTGTATAGTGAAATAGATATCCATATATAGGAAGATTAAATGCCGTTAGAACAAATAGCACTTTTTACAAACTTCACATACTTCTAAACATGGTCAATGACTACATGTATACTAACAGGTTTTGAAACAAGATAAATGCATAAAAAGAAAAGAAAAAGGGCTGACAGCTGAAAACCAAACGCAAATGTATAAAAATCTGAGACAAATGGAGGTACATTGTCAGAGGCACAGACTTCTTCATCGACACACCCTATGGAGCTGCTCTTCGGGTTAAAAATAATCGAAAATCATATATAAGTCTACAGAATGAAATGCTATGTTAACATTCATGTCTGATTAAAAAAAATAAGGAAAAGAAAAGGCATGCTCATAACCTAAGCTGATTCGCTTTTGGTACACCATTTTAACACGTTAGTCAAACTCACCATGCTTTTGATCTCCTCACGGCAAAATGGGCATACAATAGTATTGGAAACAGGCCTCAGACGATTGCTACAAACCTCACAACAACAAGTGTGGTAGCAAGGAAGGAACGTAACCGAAGGGCGAGCGCTAAGGCAAAGATAACAGACCGGCTCGTCACCTAACATGCTCGAGGTACACGATAAAGCGTTGTTGCTCATATTATCCTCCCCTGCTTCAAAAGCCTGGCGTTGATGAAATTCGGAGTCATTAGGCAAAAGACGTTCTCGCTCCTCCATCAGCGAATGAACGCCGTAACCTGACGCTTCTTGTGCTAATATGGCGGCGTTAGTCCGTTGCAAACGACGACGCTGCTGTTGCTCCGCGATGCCCCTATCCCGGCGTCGTTGCATGAGTTTGCGGTAAATAAGAGCCGAAGCAATACCAAGGATGGAAACCAGAATCAACCCTACAGCTATGCAAATAATCACTATCGCGTAGAATCGTTCCTCATCTAATTGATCGGAATCTGGATCCCCGGAGTCGCATTGTTGAACGATAGCGTTTTCACTGCAAGAATCCTCAGGTGCTTGGCAGGTACTACTAGAAAGACAAAAATAACACCACTTCTTCTTTTCACACGACGTACACTTGGGGCCGCTGGCGTAGCAAAGATCACTACACGTCTTCCCTGGCAATAACAGCAGCGCATCAGGAGAGCAAACAGAGGAAGAGTTCGAAATGACATCCTTCTCTATGCACTGTGAACCAAACGGTGCATCACAACACCATACACATTCCGGCACTTCAAGACATCCAAAAGAATATAAATGTTTCCTACAGGATGATACTGAGTAGAAATTATCGTTGACATCATGCCAAGGCTTCAACATAGGGCTTACTACCTGCCCAGATGAAAATATCGAAAAATAAAGGACAAAAATAAAGCAGATCCACATAGTGAGTCGTTTGCTTAGCATTAAGTGGATATGGAGTAAAAATAACTAAACCTTAGACAATAAAATTATGCCTTGGATACTACTATAATCGAAACATATACACACTTGAAGAAGTGAAATAAAAACAGGTTCATTGGAAATATAAATTATACATATATATATATATGTATATATGCGTTATTTTATGATTCTTTTTACTCTACTGGGAGTAAGTATATAGAATAATATCTTTGATATAAGCAACAAAAGAAAGTGGGCATAAAATAAAGCACACTAACATATATATATATATATAATAATATATTCACCTACGCCTTACAATGTGGACGTACAGGATGTACGCATAAACAAATAATCAAGCAGCTACACACAGAGAGATTAACTGAATTAGAGCATAGACTTCTATCTGAAGTCGATAACTACAATGCAAATATTTTGGCTCTTTGTTTTACGATGTAAATGAGTTTAGAAACATAAACAACTAATCATCCTTCTGTTCTTTTGGGTCAAGGATACACAAGTATATTAATAGTCCGGAATCATTATATTTTTGTTACCTAGAATTTTTAGGCACTTCAAAATATCCATCATTCGAAATATATGAAAAATGTAAGTCTCTTTCTGCGGTAAGTAAAATAACGACTCCTGTGTAATTTCTTCTCATTTCTCAGTCTACCCTCATAGCATGCAGTGCTGTTATAGTTAAGAGTAAGTAATCTACACCTTTGTGGTATACAACTATAATGACAACATAAAATATCTAGTCGTCAAGAAAGGTAATTTATTGATTTGATGACCTATTCACATTTATTTAGAATGGAGACATAGCTTCCGTTATTCTAGTTCCTACACATCCTTTAGCAGCAAGAATTTCCTTTTGATTTCTTATCCCTATCCGCACCTAACTTGACCTTCCTCTCACCAGACGCACCAACTCGTGAGGACTGCTGTGCGGTGCCGCAGTGATCTTTCATATCATCAAAAATACACTTGGTGATCTGCTGAAAAGCCTGTTGCACGTTTTCTTTTTCTTTCGCACTGGTTTCAATATACGACATCTTGTGCTGCGTCGCCCAGGCCATCGCCTCTTCCTTCGTAACTTGTCGATTTGTACGAGCCCCATCGATCTTGCAGCCAATGAGCAGGCAGGGGATACCCGGCAGCGCCTGCTGCTTCACTCGCTCCATCCACTGCTCAACATGCAGGAAGGATGGTCTGTGGGTGAGATCAAAACACAACATAACACCATTTGCACCACGGTAAAAAGCAGTAGCCACGGATTGAAAGCGCTCCTGTCCGGCGGTATCCCATATCTGCAGGCGCACGTGTTTATCCATGTAGTTTATCTGGTGCATGCGGAAATCAATCGCAATCGTTGAGGCGTAATCTCTGTAGAATACATCCTCTGAAAGCCTTACAGTTAAAGATGACTTTCCCACGCCGCTATCACCAATGACAATGATTTTGAAAATGTAGTCATAGTCACCACCTGCCCCTGACCCCGCTTTGGCCATTTGGTTGCTTTAATATGAGTAATATTTTTATTTTATTAAGATTTGAAAAAAATCTTTGGGAAATTGCCTTCAGGAAAAGTAGTAACTCAAGAAGTATCGCTTCAAATATAGTAAACTTAAATAACTAAATAGTTGATGGTAATATATACCCTGAATACTTTATTAAATCAAATCATTACACATTGAAGAAAGGGTAGTTAGTCTAACAAGCAGAAGTAAGTAAACATGTAGATTAAATCTTAATTTCAGAAAATAATTGTTTCCCTTATAAGTTACTCACATGTCAAATAATCGAACACAAAGTAAAGGAAAATATATCGATAATGCTTTTAATAAAAGAAGTCACTATCAACGGAGTAGAACGCTCATAAAGTATAAATACTACATTTCTTCCAATCCTCGCAAACACCACCTTGGTTGTATATTGTTATATATTAAAACAGTCGAAGGAATAGAATTAACTAAGCTTCTCCCTATTTTTCATCCCTTTCCTCTATCCCTCCTCCTCTGAAATCGTAGGGAAGGGGTTTTGGTCTCAATTGCAACAATTTTTCTTACCAGAGCCGCGATCCTCTCTGGCACCTTTCTTGTTTTTCAAGCTCATCCCACCCCCACCACTCAGATTACGAGATGTATTCTTTTGATACAATTTGCTGTCCTTCGCCATGAAAGTCACTAGATGTTGAAAGGCCTGCGTCACATTTGTGTTCTCCTTCGCGCTTGTTTCAATGTAACAGAGGCAATTGTGCAACCGCGCCCACGCATCCCCTTCGCTCTTGCTGACCTGTCGATTACTGCCTAGGACAATGCCCTGTTGCGAGTTGCCTAATTTGCTCTGCACTAGATCCAGCTTGCAGCCTACAAGAATCAAAAGCGGCAGTTTGGCGCAGTTTTGCTTCACTAGGTTGTACCAGGTTTCGAGATCCTCAAAGGAGGCGCGATTGGAAAGATCGAAGCACATCATGGCTCCTTGACAATTGCGGTAGAAGGCTGTTGTGAGGGTTACAAACTGATCCTGCCCGGAGGTATCCCATATTTGAAGTCTCACCGACCGCGGCTTCGTCTCTAACGTCTCACAGGTGGTGTATTTGAAGTCCATGCCTAGCGTGGGGACTATGTCGGAGTAAAACTTATTATCACAGAACCGACATGTGATGTTGCTTTTTCCTACGCTTACACTCCCGAGCACAATAATCTTATAGGCTAATTCTTCGTCCATTTAATGTAATAATAATAGATGCCTTCTACACTTTTTTTGGCAAAAAAACGAAAAATGAATTAGTCCTTTTTGTTTTTGTTATAGTATGAATCTACCGTTATGAAATTTTTATAAATACCAATGTTTCCAATCGGTAAAGAGAAAGATAAATGAGATAATCAATATCAATGAAAACAAATCCAACTGTGTGGCAATAAACACGATGGAGTCAAGAAAAGACTATATGGTTTTTCTTATTTTCTCCCTATATTTTTGGAAGTCCCTTCCTTCTAGGTCATATATATATGTATGCATGGCAGCAGCATTGAATCTATTGAAACCAAGTCAGGTGTAGTTTCTTTAATTGCTCACGAAAACAGTGTACACGGGGAACATCATAAAGCGAGCACCGTATCACCAACATGAGCTAATAAGCGATACCAGGAAGTATTTAAAGGCGAAAATGAATAAGAACTAGAATTCACACCGGCAGAAAGTTGTCTATAATATCACTGTTTGCAGGTAGCCAATATTCTTGGTACGAAGAAGGCAGTAGAACTTGCCTCACCATCACCCTAAGTAAGGTGATTAAGATCTCTTACAAGATAGAAGGGAGAGAAAGCCATCCCCCAACAATCCAAAGCATAGACTTTGAAAAGACGTAACTACCTATAACAGCCACATACGAAACCAGTAATATTGCAAAGGTCCCTTCACTTACACTTGAAATAATTTCTGAAGTTTCAATTCAAACGAATACCTTTCATGTCCTAGTAATATGAAAGAATAGAAAAAAAAATGTAAAATGTTTTTTGCATAATTAATTCATAAAAAAGATTCACTGCCTCTTTTAAAGCCGGTAGTCACACTGTGAACAATGCGATATCCAACCTAGATTGCAAATTAGATGCTAATGTGTATGAAATATGTACAACAGAAAGCTAAACATTATTTCACTGCTCCTAATCGTACAATTTTATTTACATTGTGTTTTTCGCTTAAACCATAAGTGCAACTTTCTTTCGCATTCCTTGCCTCTACTCTGTATACGTATATATAACCACATATATTAATTACTTGTTGCGATGCTATCATCATCAACTCAGTACATTTGTAATACTCAACACATCTAAATACAAAGGCTTTAATAACCTCATTTTTTATTTTTAGTTGAAGTATCTATCCATTTAAAAATGTTTAGTGAGAATAAATCTAACACGTTTTATGCACCGAACAAAGCAGACATACATAACATGATAGTTTCGTACATATTACATGCACCTATCCCAGTACTTGAAGTAATCTTCATCTACTTGATTGGTATACAGCTCATTTAAATTCGCCGTCCGATACTTATCGGCAATTGACTGTTTTTTTTGATATTCCCCTAAATCCTTGAGTTCTGCCTTTCGCTCTCGGTTGCGCTGTCGGTCTAAGGCTTGCCCCATACGCAACTGCATGTTCTCTTGCTGAGCCCATTGTTTAGATTCCTCAACTTCTAGCAAACGCCGCCGCCGCAATTCGTGCAGCTGTTCCTCCTGCTCAGCACGCAGCTTGTTTTTTTGAGATTCGGACAGACATTTGTAATTTTCCCCCTTTACTGTTTCGCCAAGTTTCGACATCACGGTCTGTCGCTCATTCAAGAAATCACAGGAAGTGAGGTAGGCGATTTCCTCAAGTCCCAGACGCGTATCCTCCTCCTTCGCACGGATTCCCTCCTGTCGTTGCTGCTCTGCTAATTTCTTGTTGAAATCCGCTGTACACGTATCTCGTAGCCGCCGCTGCTCCGCAATGTTTCGCTCGATTTGGTAAGTTCGGTAGTTGGTTTCCTCATTGCGATTATCAAAAGCACAGTTCGCCTCCTGCTCCATCCACTTCTTCGCTAGCTTTTCTTCAGTCTGCTGCTGGGCCCATTCGTGCTGCTGCCGCTGCTGTGCGGCACGTCGCTCGTGGAAATCGAGGTCCTCGCCTTCGAATTTTTGAAGAGAGGATGGACCATTACGGGGGTCGTCGTCGCTCACACGTGCGGGCAGTTCCTTTACCTTGGCCTGGGGATCATTGAGATCCCACTCCCGCCGCTGTTCATTTTTCTGAAAAGTTTGACGATATTCAGACAAATCCTTCTCGCGCTCGGCTCTGATCTTATTCACCTCCTGCTGCAAGGCGACGGCGTGTCGATCCATGAGCAGGGCCTGGCGATCGTAATAATCCTCCCGTTCTTTCTCTAAGCGCTTGAGAGCCTCTTTTTCGCGTACTTGCTCGTCTAAAGCCTGCCGGTCAATTCCCATATGCCTGATTTTTGGATCTCGCAAGCGCTCCGCGCGCTGATGCAAAAATAACTGCTTTTTTGACTTTGTAGACAAGTGTGGCATGTTAGAGAAGTCTGTCATGTTGTCATACGTCGATGAAAGAGTTCCTCCGGCTACGTTTTCCATCTGAACCTGAGTTTAGTCTTCAAGCGTGTGGAGTCTATTTTTTAGTCCCCTTAAGTCAGAGGACGACTAATACGCTGAAAAGTGAGATTTTAGAGAAAGCTTTACCTTTTTAATAAACTATTAAAACTTATTAGTATAAGAAGCAAGAAAGGTAAAACCAAGCATCGGATGAAATCAATAAAAACACAAGGTATTTTTCAATACTACGAGTATTTCGTTTTCTACCTCCATGATGTTTTCCGCCTTGACAAATATAGGATGATGAAAACATCCGATAAAATTCTCTCCCTGCAAGGATCCGATCCCACGCCCTATCGCCCACCTTCTAGCCCTCACAGCTTAACTGGAGTCATCTGTGAGAGCGGTGATGGGGCGAAGCACTTAAAGCAGAACTTCCGCGTGCTCCGATTCACCGATTTACAACCCGAGCACGTCCACAGCGTTACCTCCTGACCTGGAAAAGGAGGAGGGACCGGCTTGGGCTGATTACACTTAAAGCAAATAACATTCCCCCGGAAGTTCATCTGCCCACAGGGGCAGGCCCAGTCGTGGGGGTCCTCCCCGGGCAGTGAAGGGGGGCGCACCCCGGGCGGCAGCGGCGGAGCCGGCGCCCCGCACTTGAAGCACTCCCGCTTAGATCGATAATTCACCTCTCCGCACTGGCAGATCCAATCCCCCTCCGCCGGCTCACGATGTCTGGGGCGGCGCATCTGTCCCATCCGACGACCCCGATCCACACCCGACAGTGCTATCCGCCTACGCGATATCACCAACGCGCCGACAGGGGGCGCGGTGTGAGAGGGCAACACCTCAAAGTCCAGATGACCTCGGCGGGTCGCAGGATGGGCCATCCAGGCGAAGGACACCACGTGCGCGAACGAAGGCAAGGACCGTCGCATTCTATTAACGTCAACCAAATTCAGCCTGTTACTAATGGTAAGAGCTATGAAGGGGGGGGGGGGAGGAGAGAGGATAAGAGAGTTAAAGGATCTCTCAGAGGAAAGAATAGGAAGTGTGAGTAAGGCCATAAGTTGTTACACATGATTGTTACCCCTTTCTTTTCTGCACTTATATCCGCGTGGATAGTATAGCTCAAGTCATGCTCAAAAACGAAGCCAGACTAGTTTAGCAGTTTAGTTACCCTTTATTGGAATATCCAACATTGAGGTCTGACTGCTTTTCTACTTATTTCACTCCCTCATAATCTGAGAAGTAATCTGGTGTACTCTTCATGCATCATGTTTACATTCAATAGAAAATGATAAGAGAAAGTGAAATCACCTATATATTAGGGGTTTCAATAGAAATTCCAGCGTGTTCCACACATAGAGTCCTATGCAAAGAAAGTCATTGATTGCTAAAACTGGAGTCCAACCTATTCCATAATAGTTAAAGAGCATTGAGATATTCAACAAGTTCACATACGAAGATCAGTGCATTGAAAATTTCACGGATGTGAAGGTGCCTCATTCAAAAGCAACTAGGCTAAAACGACAAAAACCATTCAGCAAAATAAACATGATAGCCGTATAAACAAAATGTTCCAGGTCCATTTTTCAAATAAAAACCACCAAGTTGTTTCACTTGGTGGAAAATCGTTAGAGTTCTTTTTCAAAACGTCAGTGAGATGAAAACAGCTTCAGGTTTCGATCGTGATGCAAAACCAATACCTCATGGCGAATTATGTCGATACGATTTTACTTTATATAGAAATATTCTGCCCGAATTTTCTAGGAACATAAAATAAAAAATTACAAATAGCGTACTCTAATAAGGGTTCTTTTATGTTAAACTTTCTTTGTAAAAAAAAGTTTACATGCATTGAATTCAGGGAATACCTTTGTAAAGTGGATTTGCCTCGTTAGCCTGCTGTGCGGGTTGGATTTTAAAGTTATGACTTACCACTTCCCTTCCGTATGCGGTTTTATGTAGACCAGCCTCTAATAAAGCATAGTATAACTTCATACGTGGATCGCGCATAATCTCATCATCTGTGTATCCCATAATTTTGTTTTTTACAGACGCTGCGAATGGGATGTATGAATGTGACTGAGCACTGGACTCGGTAGCTTTTCTAAGTCGCTTGGGATCAGATTGTACACCAATCCTACGCTCTACAGAATCGAAAAAACTTTGGATTGTTTTTTCCTTTTGTTGTTTCAGATCAATAAGTTCCTTTTCAATAGATTGTCTGTGCTCAATCTTCTCAGCGTATTTACGCTGACGAAACACTACACGCTTGCTATTTTGTTCCATTCGCTCAGCTTTTTTTTCCTCTTCTTCTTTTAGGAGAAGCATCTGCAATTGACTTTCTCTCTCCTTTATTTCGCACCTTATCTTCTCATATTCAACAAGCTGCTGAAGACGCTTCTGAAACTCTTCCATACGTTTTACCTTCAAGGCGTAGTCTTGCTTCTCTTTTAGAGCACACAGTTCCCTCTCTCTTAGTTCACTCTCTTTGCATCGTTCCTCATATTCCTCTCTCTGTTGCGCGAGATGCAGGTGTTGATATTCGAGACGTTTTAAGCTAATATCCTTTTCAGCCTTCATGCAAGCCTCAAACTCCTGTCTCCCTTTATCGATTTCAAGGGCCGTTTCATAGGTGTTGAATAATTTTTCCGTGGCCCTTCTGTGATCCATGACAAAGGCCCTTATTAATTGCTGATGTTTCCTCTGTTGCAATGACTCTTCTATGGCGACATTTATTTCGCTTTTCGAAAGTTCCGGAAAGGTGATCGATACGCGGTCCCTTAACTGCTTTTGCAGGGGTAAAGATGCGTCGGCCTGACGTCCCCTTTCAGCAAGTTTTAAAAGTAGGGTAATTGTATTCAGAACTTTAGCTGACGAAACAGGTGATGAAGTGCTTCTGTTCTCTGCAAGATAGGTTAGTAGTCGCTCTTGCTCATGTTGCAATGCTTCGGAAAAGGCATCATGTATCTTTTTAGATTCAAGGAATTTCTCCTGCAGCTGCTCTATGCGCGATCTGGTTTGGATTAAAATATCATTTACATCAATTTTAGACGAAGGCTCTTCTCCTTGTGTCACAATATCAGCTTCAGTTCGCTTTAGTTCATCTTTTATGAAAACTTTCAACTCTAAAATCTTCGATTTCAATGGCTCTACATAATCACTAAAAGGATTAGCCTTCTTTAACACCTGAAGCTCATTTTGTACTGCTTGGAGCTGTTGCGTAATTTTTTCTTGAAGGGACCATTTTGCACGCACACTAGAATTGTCATCATCCAAGATGTCAATTTTCTTAAGGGATTCTCTAAGCTCCATTTCACACACTTCTTGCTCTTTAGCAAGTGCATCACGATCAGCAATCCATAACAACTGATTAGTGTGATCCTTAGCCTTTTTTTTGAGCACATTTCTACGGTGGCAAAATGCCTTGAGGTTACTAGTGTGACGATCATTAATTTTGCGCCATTCTTCTAGGGCATGTATATTTTCTTGAGCACTCGAAAATGCTGAAATTTCCAAACGGGGTCTCATAACATTACATATTCTTTGAAATAGTTATTGGTAGTGAGATCAAGAAAAAAAATAGTACATATGGAATAACTCCCAGATTCAAAATTGAATTTCGTTCATTTCAGTGGAGGAAGATAAATTTTCAGTCTCTGTTTATTTTTTTGACTTTTCCCTCTAGGTTTCTTTTCCTAAGAGAATCCATAGTAGATATTGCAAAGGTAATAAAATATGCACATATATTTTTATATTTTCAGGTAGCAAGAAATATATATTGGTATAGAATTTAGTGTTTGGTAAACTCGATATGTAGCTTGCCTGAATGATCAAAACTATATGTGGCCCTTCCATTGAGACACTGTTTGCTATCATCTGAAAGTCGTACCGGTGTTAATTGTTTAAGCTTTTCTTGTGCCTCATAAGTAGAGACGCAAAGGTTTCTTATCGCAAATTCTGCCCATTCAACCATTCCTGGATTGTCCTCATCAATACGAGTTGCGGACAAAATTTCTTTCAGAATATTATCATCACCAACTAAAACTTTACTACAATCTGTATTATCAAAGCATAAGTTTGCTATGAGTCGCATATGCTCGGTTTTGTACCCTTCCTGAAAATAAGTAATTTCATGCTCACGTTGTATATTAAGGGCATCAGATATGTAATGTAGCATACCTTTTTCTAACATATACATCTGCAACGGTTGTCGCAGCTTAGTGTGGCTTACAAGGACTAATGATAAAAGGTCAGTTGATACATAAGACAAGTGTGCTCCGATTTCTAGCCAACCATATGATCCTTCAGCAAAATCCTCTACACTGTCACTTTGTAATAAATCAGTGGAGATCTGTGAAACAGAATCTAGTTCAATGTTTATATTCCTTTTATCATTTAATGTACGTTTTAAAATATGTGTTGCAACAGCCAATGCTAGGTTGATCATTCGCTCCAACACTTTCTTCATATGCTCCATTTCGTCTACAGTTTCAGAAACCGAGTCAAAGACAGCTTTGTCAGCCGCTTGTTCAAGTTTAAACTTCAGTGCATAGTTCCTCAAATCAGGATCAGCTGAGGATAAAGCTAGAATTGTATCGACATTTTTACTTATCATTTCAAGTACATCTTTATTGGCATCATTAACGCAAGTCGAACGTATTTTATAATCAAATGACATTATTAAACTTAGGCAATAGCAGCTATTTTTATTGAACAATTTATAATTTCCAAAAGACCTACTATTTAAACTACTAATATTAAAGTTGAAATAAAGAAGAGGTGCACTATAATAATAATAATAATGAGTATTAATCTTCACTATGAACATTTAGTTTTAGATATCAAAATTGTCGAAATAGCCTTTTTGAGGATCTGTTCACGCGTTGTAATTTTCATTCATATCAAATTGTTCATTTTTTTTTATTATTAGTCAAGCACCCGCACCTGTCTCATTCAACACACTAAAGCTTATCTTCTTGACTTTTTAGATATTTTATCACTATGCGGTGATTTATCCAAAATGCACTTGAGTGGATAAAAAAGATACAAAGTGCAACACTGATACTTACTACTATTTAAATCGAGAAGCAACTCCTTTGGGTTGTTTGGTATCACTATTGGTTGGCTCAAGTCGATTTTTAACTTCTTCAAGTCTAATGCCAGAGGGATTTGACTCCAGAAGAATTCTTCCAGGGCCGTCTATGTAATACTTGGGGTTTGGACATGAGGGTACCTCACAGTAAATAGGGGCACATGCAACCCACTCACCTGCTGCCCGAAACTTATGCCCACATGGACATTGCCATTCCTTTTGAACAAAAAGAGTATTCACCAATTGCTTTGTCTGTCCAAATGCATGAGAAAAAGATGCTTCTGGTGTTTTTGCTGAAGTGATTAGCGAATTGCCAACAGCACCCCCTACAGAGCGAGAAACATAGGTTTTAAGTCGGTCAGTAAAGGACATATTTGAAAGGTATCCTTTGTTTGGGAAAGGGGAAAAAGAAAAGGAGAAGAACAATTGAAAAACTTATTTTCGACAAATGACTAGAATATCATCGTAAATTATAACAAGATATACGAATTAGAAAATAGTTGAATTCAAACATATTATCTAAACTAATATTCGTTGTAGAAAATTTTAAATATTCGATATTTTTAGAAATAATAACACTTTTCTTTGAAATAGCCTGGCTATCTACCGGCACCACCCTTATATCCCTCAGGAAAGAAAAATCCGTACAGAGCCCTTGTTTTTTCCAAGGCCTTCCGCGAGCATTCGAAAAACACAGATGAGGGTGATATTCGAGTGCGTTCAATTTCTTTCTTCTTCATTTCATTCAGTAATTCCAAATCTACAGTATATGGGTGTTTACTTAATCCTGCTAAAGTCATTCGTAACATGTGGTGTCTTTATGGTAAAGTTTTCACTTTACTAGATCTAGTCGTGTAAATAATTAAGACTTATCCCCCTTCAAAAAATATTAAGAAGCGGACCAATAAGTCAAAATTATTTAAAGGAAAATTAAAACTGGATTAAATAAAGAAATAATTTTCCAGAATGATAATGATTAAATATGCAGTTGGATTCTAAATAAAAGTTTTTTAACGTGAATATATGCGTCGGCATTTTTAGCGTCCACGATCTTTTTTAAAAGAGCTCTTCGGGTTTGACAACAAATGGATTGAAATTTTCGACCTTTCGTGAGCCATGATTCACCTTATGAAAAAGGATTAACGATGGAAAATAAGTGACTCCGAAAGAAGATCTTAGCCAAGCAGTGAAATTTTCACGACAGTCTACAGTGTAGATCAATATATCCTTTTTCCGTGTGTCTATTTTTTTTAATAGACTCATAGCTCGATCAGTATTTATGTCTAGTGGATCAAAAAAGAAAAGGATTTGATTATTTTCATTTTCTCTTGCTATCTGCAACGAGTCTTCTATAGTATGCAAGGATCTGAAAATGACATCCGCACTTCCTATTTGAGATGTCAATAGTAAAAGTAAAGTCGCTAGCAAGATTATTCTGCACATTTTTTATATATAATTTCTTGGTATTAAGTTCAAGTAAAATAAAGGAAGCAAGTAGATAAGCTATTTTTAAAAAAGTGCAGAAGATTTCACAATATCATGGAATAAAGTTTAAAAAAAAACTTGAATAATTTGAAGTAGGTTTTTATGCATAGGATGAATGGATCCATGAAAAAATATGATATAGATATATGTCAAGACATGCTACGTAAAGTCTAAAGGAAAAAACAACAGTCTTTGTTCTATGAAAAGTTAAAATTTCTATGAGTTACTGTTATTAAAATACTTTTTCTGTCCTTTCTCTAGAGTGAATTGTCGAAATATAGTAATTTGGTATAACCATGATTGTATAATCATATTTGCGCACTGTTTCAGTTCCTTGATCTATGTTGAAGAACTGTTCCCAGCCATCACCTAAATTCAGTGAAAACCCTTTTTCAGTCGCTGAAAAGCCACTAATAAACAGCTCGCCGAAAGGAATTGTCTCTTGTGGTGATTGATGAAGAACTACTTCGACCGGTAATAAACGAGTTACCCCCAAATCAGCCCATGGATATCGTGATTTAGATGTATTGTTATCTAAGCTTGTCTTCATAATGGTGCCGTTATCGTTTGCAATATGCAAAAATCCATACAAGGATCCATCTTCAGTTATTCTAAAAATAAGATTGGAGTTATCATCGAAAAAGAAGCCATACGTGCTCGAATCAATTTTAAAACCAAAGAGTACAAAACTATGCGTTTTATAATCAGACAAAAGCTTTTCATCGTCAGTGAAAAAAAGAGAAGCAATGAGTCCATTGAATGGTGTCAACCCTTGCTTATCCCCGCAGGAAATACAAAAATCAGTGCCATTTTTTTCTTGATGATAAAATGGTCCCTTCATCACTTCTTTTCCACAATGATCACAAGTGAATCCTTCACTGTACTCGGGTTCCAGCTCTACTGGAATTTTTATATGATATCTAAACATTTTATCCTTATGTTAGAAAAAAACAAGGTGAAAATGGTGGGCGGAATTAATCGATGAAATAATAATAATAATGTCGCCAAGCGATTTATAGGTACAGGCCAAGGTCATGTTCGACTACACTAAATACATCAATATGAAGGTTACCTATATTGATAAGGCTCCATCCACCTCAGTGTATACCTACTAGGGGTTCCATTAGGTAGAATAAATAATTTTTTATGATATTATTTACATATCGGATATTCAGCATTCGGGGTCATATGGACGACGAGGTAGTCCCCCCCGCTTTCAATGAGAGCTTGCGCCGA